ATGGACCCGGTCGTGGTGCGACCGTTAATTTCGTCTCAGCCCTATTTGTTCCTTCCTCCAACCAACGAATCTCCCGCCGACACCCTCTCTCTTCATTTTTAGACCCAACAAACAAAGCCTCGTCTCAACAGCGGGCCTTCATCTTCCCTCCTGAACCGTAGCATTCATTCATTGCCTAAATTCTTCACTGAAGTTTTGATTCCTCACTTCTGTTTGCATAGATCCAGTCAAACACATTCCGTGTGTTGATTTTTGCAGAGCGGGAAATGGATCGGTACCAGAAGGTGGAGAAGCCGAGGGAGGAGACTCCTATGAACGAAAATGAGATCAGAATCACCGCGCAGGGGAGGCTGAGGAACTACATTACCTACGCCAATAACCTTCTTCAGGTAATTTTACACTTAGCAAATGTGGATAGTTTTTTCCATTCATTAAATGCAGAGATCTGTTTGTTATCTACAATGATTTATTTGTGTGTTTAAACCAGCTCGAATTGTAAGAGATCCTTCTGGATTTAAGTTTAGATCATATCATTAAACTGTAAATTCATATTTTATCTTTAAGGTTTGATACTTCCAAAATTGATCTTTGAAATTATGTCCAATGAACACAACTCGAATTTGTTTCAAAGGAATAAACTACTAAATAGTTGGTTAAAATGGAGATCTGATGAAAATTTGGCATAGGGGAAATGGAGTATAGAACTTTTTTGAGGTAGAGGAGGAAATAATATGTTGAATCGTGATCTGCTCTAGTAATTTTAATATTTTGTTTTAGGATTTTCTTTTGTAGAGATTTAAGCTTTACTAATATATTTTGAATTATGTAAAAATAATGCATCTATTGGCAGTTCAACAAAAATACCAACTACTGTTCATGGACAAGTAATCATAACTTTGAATCCAGCCACACCTCTCTGACTCTCATGTTAGCACTTAGGCCGTACTTTTTTACCACAAAATATGCTTGTGTTATATTCCGTATATTAAAAAGTTTGCCTATCAAATTGTAATTTCTAAAGTTGACATTATGCTGATTACGTGACCAGTAGTTGGTATTTTTCAAGTCATCCTTTCCTAAATCTCCAATCATTGCTGCTGTAATAGTATGCTTGCATTTTAGTGCAAGTGATGATGAATGGAATGTATAATGAATATTGCATACCTTAAACAAGACGTAATCCTATATCAATGAGGAGAATGGAGCTCTTGATTGTCTGTGCGTTTTGTGATGATCCTCAATCAACTCCTCGATGTGTGAAATGCCATTTTTCTAAAATGTCCGATTCTTAAGATTCCTGAAAAGATATTCTTACCTATTATTTAGGTAGGTAAACTCTCATATGCTTTGGGACAGTTTGGGATCAAACAAGCACAACATATTTGGATCAGCCATTTGATCTACAAGTGCTTTCATTTTATCTTACAGTATCACTGTTCATCTGTTCAGTTTTGTAAAACTTTGTGCAGGAGAAAGGGGCTAAAGAAATAGCACTCAAGGCAATGGGAAGAGCAATAAATAAAACAGTGATTGTTGCTGAATTGATAAAGGTGGCAGTCAGGCAATTCACTATTTTCCATTTATATTTTAACTCATATTCTCTTATTACATGTAATTGTTCTTTGTGACAGAGAAGAGTTGCAGGTCTCCATCAGAATACTACCATTGGTTCTGTTGATATCACAGATACATGGGAACCTTTGGAAGAAGGACTTGTTCCGTAATACAGCACTATTATTTTTCAATTTTCTTTTATTATTTTCTTACTCTGACACAATGAATACTTTCCAAAGCTTCAACTCTTTCCTAATGCAGCCTAGAGACAGTCCGTCATGTGTCTGTGATAACAGTCACCCTGTCCAAGACGGAGTTGAATTGCTCTTCCCCAGGGTAATTATCCATCACATCATTGAAAATAATTGAGTGCATCTTCTGAAAATTAACGGCAGTCAATCAAATGGATGATATGCATTTTCTGTCCTGTATGGGTGGACTGTATTTTTATGTTTCTATTTGATACTGCATTTCTGACATATTTATTCAAATATGGAGTAGTTTCCTATACAAACCTATTCCAATAAAATGTGAAGGGCCAAAACAACCACAATATTGATCTTTAAGTTGAAGTGTGTATCTCAACTTTGAAACTAATTTACGTCGTGGCACCTGTAAACGTTCATTGTCCGAAACAAATATAATTTCAGTAGAATCAAGATTTACAGTCATGCTCTACAATTTGCATACTGATTTTAAAATTTCAATTTTTCAATGACACATGACCATAACAACACTCCCATCTCATTACCTTACTTGATGTTTTACATACGAGTGGGAAAAAAACTATGGCATTTCATCTCGTCATTCCTTCTTGAGAAGGTTGTACAGGAAGGGAAGCTGACACGATGGATTATGCATGAATTTGTAGTATTAACTAATTTAAGACAATTAATAAGTTTTTAGTGTAAATTCATTTTATGCTTGGGTTCTTTCCAGGTCTCTCTTCTTATGTTAAAGCATTGCAGTGCAGCATGTTTTTACCCAAGGTAGATAAACCACACTGTTTTGTTGTACTGTACTACTCTTGCAGGTACCAACCACCAATTCCCGCTGATCAAGTGAATTCAGTGGCCACATATGATTATGAAAGGAGTAAGTTACTCATTTAACGGGAGGATCGTATTTTCTGTATATGAATGTTACGATGTTTCGTTCTCGTTCAGATATTCTATACTCTAGTAGCTTGCAAAACAAAGAAGGAAAAAATTAGAGCTGTGTGCATGTTGAGTTAATAGAACAATATCTCTAAATGGTATTCTACTTTTAAGCAGGGGCTACAAACAATGGAGTAGTAGTAAGGAATGATGAAGATGGTGGATGGGAAGGAGAGCGCAGTATCACTGGAAGAGGCAGAGGCAGAGGGCGTGGTCGTGGAAGAGGCCGTGGTTATCCAGGACGGGGGAGAGCCTATGTAACTAGGAATGATATCTACAGTGCATCGGGAACAACAATACCTGCTCAAGTTCGTGGTAAGTGCATTTATGCATACTACAACTTTTTCTTATCTAGCATTATTTCTTTCTTTCAGACCTTAATTTTTATTGGACATTAGCTCCTTTCGAATATTTACTTCCATCAGCCTTTTTACCAGAAGGATAATTCATTTTGTTGTGACACAGAAAAGTAACAAGATGCTATGGTTTCTTTCAGGCAGAGGCAGAAGTAATGGCAGGGGTCGAGGGAATGGCAGAGGGATACCCCGCGGAGTGTTCAAACCAAATGTTACCATTCAGGCAGCAGCAGCCTAAGATTTCAGCTGTGCAGTAGCACTTACTTCCCACTTCCCACCGCTTATAGCTTTTCCTATACTGCTTTATATAAGCTACTGCTTTTCTCTATGCAATCGCCACTGTTTTGTAGGTTTTAATGGTTTTTTTCTTCCTGTTTTAGTGCTAACAGAAACTTTTTCTGTATAAAAAAATATTGTTTTCTTGAATAATAGATCCGGACAATGCATCATCCTTATTGCCGTAGATAGATATTAATATTTTTTTAAAAAAATGTTACTTGTACATGCTGGATTACACGCCCGTTTACACGCTGAGTATATTTTGTTTGTGCACAGATAATTGTTTATCATTTTAGTAAAGGAATTGTGTGTGACCTTGAATTATATGTGCATTTTACACTTTTTCGAGGTTACGAACAGTTCCTTTTACTAAAATGAAAATCAATTGTTAGACAAAATGCACTCGGCATGTAAACAGGCGTTTAAGCCAGCGTGTACAAGTAACATTTTTCATATTTTTAAACGGTGCTCAAAAGCCACAATGGTTCAGCGTTGGAGAGGGTTTGAGAATATTCACTTTTAGTAATTACCCGTATAATTTAAAAGCATTCAATTTGTTTTAACAAATAAACTAATACGTCACTATGACACTCCCAAAGAGGGGTTACAAGTTTGATCACATCCCAGTTACAAGTTTTGTCCAAAAAAACAAAACAAAAAACAAAAAACTAATACGATAATATAAATTTATAAATACAAAAGTAGTATTCATAAAATTAAATAAACCCTAATTTTAAGATGTTGGGAATTACACGTGCTCAAGGTATAGATGCTAAAAGCATATGATTGACACCCGAAAGAAGGGTCAAATAAAGATAAGAGAAAAGGTGCAAATAAGGCCATGTACTAACCAAAAAATGTCAAATAAGGCCTTATTTAAGAGGTTATGTCCGGTCGTCGCCATTTGGGGTAGTTCCCGGTGGAATTTTTTGATGAAATTTTTTTAGCATCTTATTCAGTAAGTCTAGTTTACTTATACCAAATTTCAGCTAAAACTTCAATCGGGAAGGCATTCAAATGAATTCTTGAAGATAACTGAGCTTTTAACTGCGCAGTTATCTTCAAGAATACATTTGAATGCCTTCCCGATTGAAGTTTTAGCTGAAATTTGGTATGAGTAAACTAGACTTACTGAATAAGATGCTAAAAAATATTCATCAAAAAATTCCACCGGGAACCACCCCAAATGGCGACGACCGTACAGAGCCTCTTAAATAAGGCCTTATTTGATCTTTTTTGGTTAGTACATGGCCTTATTTGCCCCTTTTCCCTAAAGATAAACACGAACTTGAGCCGGATATTTGGTTTCAAATTTTAGCTTAGTTAAAAAATAAAGGAAACCCCAAGAAAGTGGGATGGGTCTGGTTTGTCCGAACCAGTTCTGGGATCCAGCCCGGAACTATCACACGCGTAATGGCCAATGGGTTTGTATTTCCCGTGACAAGGAACGGCTCCATTCTCCTCGATCATAAGTATAGCTGTATAGGGACGACGCCATACATTATATTGTGATGTCAATTGACCACTAAAAAATCAAATATAAACTGAAGACCATATTTTACTATATCTACTCTTAATCTAATAATATTTTATCAAGTTTGGTCGACACAAAAAACAATAAAAAAAATCAAACAAAAAAAATGAACGGCTTCACTAGTGGAATGGTTATTTTATATACGGAGTACTAAGCGATTTCAAAGTTTTTTGGATAATGCAGTACTTCGTATTGGTTTAATTGATGTATGAATACTACAAATGAATTCAATATTGAATTCTCATAAAATTATGAAAGGGCGTGTTATTAGTTAAAATTTAAAACTACTAAATTAATAATACTCCCTCCGTTCTCTAATAGTTGGCCTTCTTTCCATTTTGGGATGTTCTCTATTAGTTGTCCCCCTTTCCACTTTTGGTAAGTTTTTTCAATAAATATACCCATTTACCCTCATTCTCTTTCCTACTTTTTCATTCTCTTTCCTACTTTTTCCTTTACACACAACCCACTACACCTTTTATACTACCCCTATTAATTTCATCTTAAATCTTGTGCCAAAGCCTATACTCCCATCTATTAGAGAACGGAGGGAGTATTTTTTATGCATTATTGTATTTATACTATTACTTTAATTGTTGACATCACTGACAACAAGTGCTAACGATTACTTGGGATGCATGAAAAACATGCATGTCTTTAAGGATGTTTTTAGTTGGACTGAAATTTTCTAGTCTGGTCTCTGTGTATTTTACGATCATTGAATTGTGGTCTGATCTGTGAACTTGATTCAATCTGGTTTGAGACTTAAAGAGACTAAGGTGCTGTTCTGTTCGTCTTATTCTTATTACTTATTACTTATTCTTATTTTATTCAGATCAGATCAGATCAGAAAAATTCAGATCAGATCAGAAAAATTCAGATCAGATCAGATCAGATCAGAAAGATTCAGATCAGATCAGATCAGATCAGAAAGATTCAGATCAGATCAGAAAGATTCAGATCAGATCAGACCAGATCAGAAACATTCAGATCAGATCAGAAACATTCAGATCAGATCAGATCAGATCAGAAAAGTTCAAACATGATTTATAACTTTTATTATTATATTAATTATTATTATTAATATTGTTATTACTATTATGATTATTATTATACAATTATTATTAATAATATTAATAATAATATGATAAAAAAATAAGATATTAATATAGTTATAATATTTTAATATAATAATAGTAATATAAATGCAATTATTAAGAAGACTATTATTATTATTACAATATTATAATAATAATAATATGATTAATATTATTATAATATTATATTATAATTATATGTAATTATAATTATACTTACAATTATAAATCTTATAATTATAAGTATATCAATTGTAATTATTATAATTATATCTATAATTAATTATAATTATAATTGTAATTAATTATAATTATAATAATTATAATTACAATCATAATTATAATTATGATTATAATTATAATTATAATATAATATTCTAATATAATAATAATAATAATAATAATAATAATATTATTATTATTATGTTATTGTAATAATAATATTAATATAATAATATCGTTATAATAATATTAATTGTATTTATATTACTATTATTATATTATAATATTATAATTAATGTTAATATAATTATAATTATTATTAATTATAAATATACTTATAATTATATTATAGTTATAATTTATGATTATAATTATTATTTTTATTATAATTATTAATATTATTATTATTATTGTTACTATTGTAATTATTTTACGGAGTAATTATAATAATATTGATAACTATAGTTACAATTATAGAGATAAATATTGTAATTATAATTACAATTATAATTATATAAGTAATTATTATTAAAAATATAATTACAATTATAATTATATCTATATTTATAATTAGTGTAATATGTATAAATTTTTTCATTTTAAATTTAATTTTAATTATTATTATTATTATTTTTATAGTTACGATTATAATTATAATTTTATTTAAGTTATATTTGTAATTGCAATTATAATAATTATAATTATAATTATAATCATAGAAATATTCAAATCAGATCAGATCAGAAAGATTCAGATCAGATCAGAAGGATTCAGATCAGATCAGAAACATTCAGATCAGATCAGACCAGATCAGAAACATTCAGATCAGATCAGCAAGATTCAGATCAGATCAGATCAGAAAGATTCAGATCAGATCAGATCAGATCAGAAAGATTCAGATCAGATCAGATCAGATCAGAAAAATTCAGATCAGATCAGATCAGAACTTAAAAAATTCAGATCAGAAACATTCAGATCAGGCGAAGAGAACAGCTTCTAAGCTGATACTCCATCTATCCACATGAAAAGAATCTTGTTTATGCAGGTTGTTTCTTTCCAACAACAAAAAACTAGCAGAACCAACCACGGTCCACGAGCATGAACAAGCAAAAAAGATGTAAACCATGTGTCAAAACCCCCGGGTCATGAAAAATTAAAAGGTTTTGAAGAGGTTAAAAATCAGAGAATTCGTTCCTTCTTTTAGGCGTTTTAGCTTGCAAGTTCGTTAGTTTTGTAAAATTTTGAAATAAAAGTAAAAAGAAATCCTAATGTGAATATTGTCGTAAAAAACTGCTTGGCCAATTATTCAGAACCCTGCCTGACTGTGAAAGTTGAGAATTGACATTGTTATGCAGGAAGTGCAAAAACATGCATTTAGTACAATAACATGGGAGAGTAGCTAGTCATAAAAATGCATGACTAGAATTAATGCATGTGTTTGATGAAAAGAAATAGACAGGAAAAGAATGGAAGAGCAATTGAAATGACGATCTCCAATGCTGGGTAATTATAAGATGCGCCACCAGATTGCGCATAGCCAACATAGTTGAGCATTTGTACGCCACCATCGACCTTCTCAGCCGTCAAAATCTCGACCGGGAAGGTACAAGTACCCACCGAGGGGTCAAACGGAGTCAACGCGCCCAAGCCTGCAAAATTGCAAGCCCCATTTTCCAGCTCCTGGTTGTTGGACTGGTAATACATGTTGAAGGCATAGGAGGCATTCCAGGTGTAGTTAAGGTTGCCACAGGAGGAACCAAAGTAGAGAGAGGAGCAGTCAGATTTGTTACAGGCAAACTTCACCTGCTCATCCACCTTACTCAAATTGCTTTGGTCCCCATTGAATATGCACCAGCGCGAAGGCATTTTCACCATCCCCTTGGCCGCCCACGGGTAGATGTCCCGCCCCTGCCCAGAGAAATCAATCTTGAATTTCGGTGTCCCGTCATAGTTGTAGATTCCCCTTCGGCGTTGGTAGTTCCCATAAACTAGGGGAATCTTGTTCTCATCGGTCAATGTGGCAAGGAACACGTCTATGTTGGTGTTTGGTCGTCTCGGGGTTCCCTTTTTCTCCACTATATGCTTGAGAAAAGTGCGGTAAAATCTTTCTGCGTTAGTAACATTCGCGTCTTTAGCCCCGTCTGTGGGCCACCCAACTTGTCCGATCACGATTTCCATGTTCGGGTACCCTGCCTTTTCAATGGAAACAACAAGCGCATCAAACATGAACTCAAAGGCATTCGTGTACGTGTATTGCCCGTCTACAATGCTAAAGTTGGACTTGTTGTCCATGAAAGCAAATTCGATGGGCCAGTTGTTGGCTTGGGCTGA